CGCTCATTATCATCAGTGTGAAAGTAAAAGTGAATGTTTCTTCTTATGCTGATGACTTACGATGAGATATTTGATTATTGGAAATTTATTTACAACATTATTTGTAGAATAATGTAATTTCATGTAATTTGTGATAATGAATTAATGGAATGTTTAATGCATGTTGAGAAATATAAATAATATTTAGAATTAAAATAATCTTCTCGACTCTTGAACTTTAGAAATATTAATACGTAATTGTAATTGTGTATGTTGTATAAAATTTTACACAATATAAGCAATTCCAGTCTTGTATTGCATATACGATGATTAAATTCTATCATCCTATCATAGAAGCTTTTAAATCAACCAATTCTTCGTTTGTCCATTCTTCCTCTACCAAAACTTTCCAAAGTTCTCCATTCCTCGTTTTTCATCAAATCTCCTTCAGGAGATCATCCCCCAGAAACCTTTCCAAAAGGTCGGCTACTCTCCTCTCCGAGAAAGTTGTCAGTTGCGGGTTCTGTCGGCTCGTCGAAGCAAACCTGGTCCACCCTCCACAGTTTCGCATTGTTATTCTAGATTGCATTGCAAATTAGATCACGGACTGGCGTCTCATCACCCTTCTACCATCTCGTCCGCTCAAGTTGCGACATCGTCGCCCTGCTGCTCCTCCTCGTAACCCATCCTTCCACCCCTTTTCAGCTTGTATTTCTGCCACTCCTTCTACCATCTTGCGGAACAGTGTCGCGAGATCGTGTACACGCTCCAGGCGCGTGGAAACATGGGAAAGAAAGCGAATTGTTTTCGAGGGCCAATTTACCCGAGGCAACCCCTGTGTTTCCCTTCTTCTCGCTTCCTGAGATAATTGTCGAACCGTGTCCGTGATTCTTCTTAGTGGGGATGAGGCCAAGATTTTTGAGAAAACGCTTTTCAACCAACGCTCTCTCCGCCATTGGGTCAGTAGAAATGTTGGCAAGTAGGGAAGGGTGTCGTTTTACTTATTTATTTCTTAGTGGTGCAATTTACAATTGAAAATCCAGAGGAAGTTTGGATGATTTTAGAAATAAGTGTCGAAGAATAACGATTCTTAAACCATTTAGATGATTCTTTCTCGATCTTCATCCTTCTCCTCTTCTCCATTTATATACGTCTTCAATGATCGATATTTTGACAAAGTAGTTTTCGTATATTCTTTAGCGTTTGGATAATAAAATTTTATGCTTTGCACAAACTATTTAACTCAAAGTTCAAAATTTACGATTCAAACTTTAATAAATTCAAAGTTTAATAAATACAATTGTTGCAAATCCGAATTTTCCGAGGTAGATTTTCCAAATTCTTAAATAAAAAAACCCATAAAAAGAAACCATAAAATACAACGTGTCCCGACAATTAACCCACGAAGTACGGCATCAAGACTCGACCTTGAAGCTCCCTCCTCATCAATGCCAAAAAAACCGATACCCTTCCCTCTTGTATCCCCATTGTTTTTCCTTCCACCTAGAATCTTCCTCCTCCCTCCGCATTGTTCCACCTTTTCAACCTTGTCGGCGCAACTTTCCTCCTTTCTATTTTCCCTCCACCCACCCTTCTCCCTCCCCCTTCCGAAGGAGGAAAGCGAACGGTCCTCCTCGTCGCTTCCACAAAAGATTTATTTCCAGCAGACGCGACAAGAGCTGATAACATCACCGTCGGAAACAGGGAAGGAGGGGGAGGGGAGGGGGTGGAGGAGGAGGCGGAGGAGGAGTGAGAGGAACGTCCCTGATTCGATTTGTCTCGCGCTACGACGTGCTTATGGCCCTGACGTCGGACTTCCGGAAGACAGGACGTATTGTTTGCCTCCGAGGACGTCGTCGACGTCTATCTAGACGTTATCGATCTATCCTCCCGCTTACCAACGCCGCGCAAATAGAAATTAACCGATAAATTTTCGGCCAGGCAAATGGCCACCAGATGGATCCCTCTTTGGGGGAGGAGGGGGAAGGTCTACGATCGATTCGACGAATCGCGGGGACACGTGATCCGCCCTTAAATCTTCGAGCACGTGGAGAAGTGTGTATCTGCAAGTTTGGGGATTATATCGTTGTGAAAATTTGGGGTTGGAAATTTGAGGGGGATATTTTAGGGAGTTGTGGATGTATTTGGATAATTTATCGGTCTGGAACGTGTACGATTAACGTGTACGTGATAGCGTGAAATTGAAGACCGAGAAAGGGGGATGAAAATCTTGCAAGATTTGAGAATCTTGCAATGATTTCGTTAAATTTTTTAAAACGAATTTATAATAGGAATTAAATTATGATTGAGTCAAAATATGAATTTAGAAATTGATTTGAAAGTACGTCTAAAAGTTGATTGTATATCCAAAAATAATAAAAAAGAAATTCGTACAAACATATATGTATGTTCCATTTTTCTTTATTTATGAAACGTAACGAATTTTGCATTATCTCCACAAAATGTTCAATGTTCTCTGAATTTACCATAAACCTACTCCAACATTTTAAGTCGAGATGCGCGCATTTTAAATACGATCGATAAATAAAAAATCCAATGGATTTAAATCCGGAAATTTGTTCAATTTACCCCAAAAGCATTCGTCTAAAAATTACCGATGTCGTGATTCCATTCGCAATATTTCTCACGCCTCGCATAAAGTGAAATATAATAAAAGTACTTTTACATTAACAATCATCGAGCTTGAAGTAGATCGCTACTAAATCACAGAGGCGGATGTATATTCCACGCTTCCACGTAGCCTACCGCGAATAAATCGTTCGCGGAAGCATCGGAGCGACCGCAGAGAAGATGAAGCTCCGGCAAAGGGAAAACCTTGAGGAAGGAAAGCCTCGTCTGGAGAGAGAACAAAGGTGAAAAAGAACAAAGAGCGCGCGGTAGAAGAAAAAGCTTGGGCAGGGAAAGCGAGGAGAGAGAGAGGCAGGGAGGGGGAAGAGGAGGAAAAAAGAGGAGGAAAAAAAAAGCGGAGGAGGAGGAGGAGGAGGAGGAAGAGGAGGAGGATGGAATGTGGGCGCGAGAGTCGTGGTCTGGTTTTCCAGACGGGCAACGAGAGGAAAACATGTGGGTTAGATAGGCGCAGCTGCGCTACTACCATCCCGACCGAGATTAGATATCAGCAAGCTTTTTTCCAGACAGCCTTCGACGTTCCACGAATCGTGTAATAATCTCTGTCGAAGGCCAAAGACGAGAACCACCTCCAACAGATGGGAAATCGTACTTTCTTCGCTTTTTACATTGCCTATCTTTACCGTGTTATCCGCCGTGACCTTATTAGTGATCCATAGAAGCAATGTGAATAAGCGTTCTGAAAAATCTCGTATGAGGTCGAATGATTGGACGTGGAAGTGTGGATGTATTGGAAAATATTGTCGAGGTCGAGGTTATTTGGTAGTTGACATGTCTGTGTCCTGTGATAAATCATTGAATTAAGATTATATAAAAATTTTACTCGAATAGGAGGAAGATATCTTTAAAATTTGGAAGAAAAGGAAGGGATGAATTTGATTTATTTTTATATTTTAAAAGAGAAACGATCCTTTTTACTTGAAACTATTGAAGTGCTTATAAATTGCAAATGACGAGAAATTATCCATCTCTGCATTTGCTCTAATCCTAATATGAAATATGAAATGATGTAAAAATAACAAAATAAGGAGATTTGGACTTTGTGATATTTTGTAAGAAACATTTGATATATATATTAAATAAAAACTTAAACATTTTTAAAGACCTATAAATGCGTGAGTTCGTTCAAAATTCAATCAAGTATTAATGCAGTATTAATCATCTAATTTTCGATGATTACTAAATATATGATCCTAAAATATATTTGATCCAAAGCAATCACAGATTATCGATTTGTTTTAGAAGAAATATAATTCAACATATATTGCATAATATTGCATTAAAGGATTATTAACCTTCATGTATTATATAATAATCCTTTAGAAAAGATATATACATAGAATACAGTTTATCTCCAGTGAACAAAATCCTTTCAATAATAAAAATTAAATTATAAAATATTCGTGAATATGAAATATGGAACATTGTCCAATAAAATTGATAAATCGAGAGAATTATTTTAAATGAATGAAAACGCGTAATTCATATTTGACAGAAGTTTGTACACGGAAATATCATGAATCATAGATGTCAATATTTTTTCAAAAAGTATTGTTGATTATGTTAAGAGCGATGGTTCTTAGATCATCAGTCGATATTTATAAACATGAGAATATCGTTGATATTATAAATTCATAATACAGCAGTTCACAGATCTAAGAAGATGAAAGGGGATACAGTTCTAATGATAAACATTTCATCTACTGAAATGTTGATTCCTGACCTGATTCCTTCACTGTCGCCGTTTTTCCAACAGTATCTTAAATTTAGTCGGATACATTTAGACGAAAAATGAGACCGAACGATCAAATAAATAATTATTTAATATAATTCTAAATATTTCACGAAAATTTAGAATAAATCAAAAGATATCGAACTAATTCAAAAGATTAATTTTGTAATTTAATATATTTATATTTAATTCAATTTAATAAAAGAATATTTCTAGAAAAAGTAAAATTATTTTTATCTAAAATCCTATAATTCATATGAACAATATCCCTCTGATTATATTATAATTCATATTTCTCTTCCTAACCCTTAGTTCAAACGAATATATATTTACAAACTAAAAATTAAAAAACAAATCATTCGCAAATTTATATATAACGAGAAAATAACAATTACATCGATAATCAATGTTTTTTTACGAATATACTTCCAAAGAAGACCGAAAAGAAAAAAAAAAAATAAAGAAATTTGCGAAAGATTAATTTCTTTCATAACTTTTGTCGATAAGTATATGTAACAATACGTTAATTACTTTAATTTCCCATTTATATATTCACGATCGTGTTTTCAAAAAAAAAAAAAAAAAAAAAGAAAATTTTGATGCAAATTTTGTAGCAAAAAGGAAAAGGTAACGAATCACTCACCGGTGTCCCAGGATGACGGTGGTGGTCCTGCAGCAGGAGGCGTCGTTGGTGCGACGCCGGAAGTTCCTCGCGATGATGATGATGATGATGATGATGGCGGTGATGATGATGCCGATGGTGGTGCAAGATCGAGGCGGAAGCAGGCTCGTGCAGTAGCAGCCTACGATGATGAAGATGATGCGATACCGTCGCAAGGACACCCACCAGTGCTCCGACTATCAGGACGAGCACCACTGACACTATGTAGCTACTCGCGTTCACTGTAAACAGAAATTCGAAATCGTGTTTTAGTTCGTGTTCCCCTTGCGTGCTTAAGTAATAATATTGATGGTTAATAGAGACAAAGATGAGATTTTGAATAATTTTGTAGATAGGAAATCTTGATTTTTAGTTAATACTTTTAAAATTTTAACGAAAACTTGGCATACAAAAATTTATACGAATATGACGTGAAAAATGGAAGATGGATTGGATAATGATTGTGGTAAGAATCATTTAGAAAATTCTCTTAAGCACCAGTTGCTTAAGTGAAAAGTAGTATTGCGTAATCTGTGTGACAGTGATAAGTGACAGTGACGTTTTTCTTCGCGAGCACGCTTCTTTTCCTGATCATTTCTCTGGGAATCTAGAAAGTTGATTCGGTGAAATACACACTCGAGATAAGTGTGACTCTAGGAAATGATAGTGACGTGCATTCGAGGAATAAATTAGAACGTACAAGTGACTTCATTTCTCTCTGGAAATTAATGGACACGTTTCTTATTCTGTTTATATTATTATCATCGATAATTTATCAATTTCTTGTCATACGTAAGTATGTATGTATACAAGTATGTATGTATACATTTTGTATGTATACAAAAATTATATTGGAAAGAAAAGAAAAACTGCCAACTTGAACAATCCTTATCTCCATTGAATATTCATCCTTGCAAGAATCTTTTTAATTTTCTTCAAAATATCGAAATTTTTCAGTATCCAAACTCCATTTACCTATTTTAAAATCTTTGATTAATTTTAAAATGAATCGTTAAATGAAAAAAATTGAGAAACACTGAAATGACGTATAATTGAATTTAAGACAATTTCAAGTGTAAAAATTTCAGAATATAATAATATTACTTACAAAACACAATTTCAAAGTGTTTTTGAATTTGAGTTAAAATTGTTTCCATATAATTTTAAATAACAATTTAAGCGATATTTCTTTGAACAAATATTCTCCAATCTCTTAATCTCTAAATCCCTTTTACTTCATCATTTACCCTCTCGTAATCACCGACATAACAAACAGCAGAAACTAAAAAAAAAAAGCTAAAATGTGAATTCAGTTCGGAAGAATTCGAACCGTTTTTTGAAATAAGACCAGTGGTGGCTTTTTCAACGTCGTTGAAAATCGTCGTTCACGCGACAGTGTACCAAAGGTATCGACTAACTTCCCGCTTCCAGTCAATTTCGTACGTGATGCGTGAAAAAGACTCGAAGGCACAAAGTTTCCATCCTCCGGGACCTTTCCCCATTCACCGGGCCCACGGGGGTGGAAAATTTCTTATAGTCACGCTCCTGCGTCCGACATCTCAAGTAGCTTTGTCTCCGCGAGCGAAATTCCGGGAAATTATACGGGGGTGCCCAACTTTTCGACACGGTTTCCTCGCCCATTGGAATACGGGGGATGAAAAATTTCTCTTGCAAAAATAATATTCACTCGTGTTATGATAGTAATATTATAATTTTTAGAAACGATTATCTTTGCAACGTGAAAGTGTATATTTTTCGTAACACGAGTTAAATTTATTCTCTCTATGTTATTACAATATGATTAAAAGTTAATGATTTTTATTTTTACTTGAAATTGAACATTTTAAGACGATCTTTTTTCGATATCGATTTGAAATTCCATTAAAACTGCTCGTAGCATTTTCTCATTTGACCCAACATCAAATCAATATTTTCCACCGACTGATTCCAACGAGACATTTCCAGTTACGAAACCTCCTCTTTCCCCACAAGAACTTGCATAACCATTCAAATTTTCAACCCTCGTCTTCCCTTAAAGAAACACATTGTCCCCGATGAAATAACTAAAACATTATCTTTACATTAATTAAAATCTCTTATTTTTCACAATATTAAGTTCCGTTTTTTAAATTTCGAAAAAATCTATATATATATATATATTTAAAAATTAAATATCTAACTTATCTTAACACCAAGAAACAAAAACATTTCAATTTTCTCTTAGAGAAAAACGTGCCTATTCGTGTATATTTTTACAATCGAACAAAATGTATTTAGAACCTGACTAATTAACATTAAAAACGCATAAACTATAAACGCAAACTATTATCTCCATAGATAAAGCGTTTACAAGCAAAAAAGGGGTATAAAATTCATCCAATCTTCTCGGCCAATCTACCAAGCGTCTCGCCTCATCCCGAGAATAAGTAAGGTGCAAAATGCACAAGAAGGGAGCGGCAAACCGAGGCAAACAACGTCACACGGTCATAATTTGCCGTGTATCCAAAGAGGTGAGCCAGAAACTGCACAAGTCTGTGTGGCGTGCGTACGTGTGTGGACGAGGACGTGGCGGCCGCGATTGGCGGGACAGGATGAGACACGACCATAAAACCTTATCAACGTTCATCATCGCCGGTTCAACGGTTTGAACCGCTCGTCACCCGGCGCTCGTTAAACGCTGTACGAGTCGCGACGGTGCAGCACCCCGTGGCCCCGTCGTGGTCACGTCGAGACTCTAACAACGGCGAACGAAAAAAAGAGGCAGGAAAGGGCGAAAAGAGGTCCCTGACCCTGGGCTCAAACTTCGCCGAAACGGTCGCGCACCACGAGCTACGAGTCCCGTGTGGACAAAGGATCCCGAAAGCGACGCGACGACTCGCTGGAAACTCGCTCGGGATCGCTCTGGCCTCGATGCTCGAGGAATTTTTATACAAAGGAACGATGGGCTGCGAGCATTATATTTTGGCAGCAAGGGTTGAAGAATTTTGGTTTTTAAAGTGAAGGCAGGAAATTAATTGAACGGAAGATGTCGAGGAACTTTTGCATACGAACGAATCATTCGTGAATAGGATTATTATTATTTGGGAGGAAAGAGTCAAAGTTTTTAAAATTTACAAGTTCTAAATATTAATTGCGACAATTTGGTATTAATTTAGGCAAGATTTAACCGAGATTTGATCGAGAAATTTATATATTATTTATAAAAAGAATTAGAAAAAGTACTTTTCGTTTCCAAAAGTATCTAGATAATACCTTGATCCCTACATTTTAAACATCAGAAAATCGAGAAATATTAATTTAATATTCACAGACTGGTATATCGACAATTTTACTAAAAAAAAAGAGAAAGAATCTATTCAATCAGTTACAAACTATCCCAAAAATCTTTGAGCAAACTTACACTACATCAATCCATATTTCCAAACTTCATCATCTCTAAAATTCCTCCCTCAACGTTCCCAATCACATAACCCTCGATCTCTCCCCGCCACATGCCCGAATCCTAATATGTCCGAACGAAAGCAAGCAAGCAAGCAAGCAAGTAACTTGGAAACGAAAGCAAAGGTCACGCGTCCTGTCCAAGGCTCCGTCGCGTGTCAATATTTGACGTAGCGTTTAGAACGTCTGGCGTCTCGGCCGCCAGACAGGACATCCAGGACATCCATGCGCCATTTACCGTGCCCCTTGGCCGAGGGAAAGAATCGGTCGAAGGAAAGAAAAATGGAAAACGGAGGCATGGTGTCGCGTTGCCGGCAATTTGGCGAGGGTCGTTCACTTCCTGCTCTCAAGGAGGAACGCTCGGCATTCCGGTCGAGCGCGCGATCAAAGGCGAGAGCACGCGATTTTTTTTCTCTTCTTCTTTCCTTCTTCTTTCTCTCCTTCTCTCTCTCTTTCTTTTTTTTCTCCCCTCTTGCGGAGGCCAGAGATTTCCCTGAAGAGGTTTTGAAAGGCGACCTTCGTGACTCCGCGCGAGCCAACTGTTGTTGGAGTTGGCAGCGGATCGTATATGCCGGCCACGATTCTCCTCATCGAGGAGAGGAGAGAGGGAGAGGGGAGGAGAGAGTGAGAGCCGTCTATAGCAGAGAGCTGTATATAGCAGGATCGCGGCATATTATCCTCGAAGACGGTTGTACATACCCCTCTTTCCATCCTCTCTCTTTTTACCTGCTCTAGCGCCTGAAAGGGACTGTCAGGTAGCCGGGGCCCTTCCACTCTTCTCCAGATATTTCTGGCTGTCCCTGTTCGACGGATGGGGCCCCTCTGACGTGGCGACAGACTCGATCACGACATCGGTGATCCTTCGAATACGAAGGATACGATTTATGTCGGGGATGGGTAGCGATGGGTGCAAATGCGGCGTGAACAGAATTGTTTGAAAAATATTCCTTTCCTCGCAATATCGTATTAATCTAGTATTAATCGATATCGATAACTATCGATTTAAAAATGTAAATTGGAAGATTAATTGTTTCATTGGTAAATGATTATATATAATAAGAATCATCCGATTGAATGAAAAATGAAATTACAATTTATATCAAAATATAATACTTGTAATTTACTGAGAATTATTTTTCTTATGAATGAATTCAAAGTAATTTTTTTATTTCGTACGACAAAAACCTCGTAATTAAAAAAAAAAAAAAGGAATTCGAAGAATTTTTAAACACGCCCGATATTTCAGGATTAAAACGAGTCGTATATCGATAACCTAATTCTTCATCCTATCGCGATACAGTATAAATTGGTTACACGTATTAACCAACGAACCGCTAAAAAGCTGGCGATCGACGCGACAGAAAAATCGTTGCTTCGAATCCAGCGGGGGCCAATTCCGCGTTCGTTCACCGATCACTAAAAATTACAGCATCACTTCGTAAACCGTTCCAATCGATGTCGGCTGTCTCGATCGAAAATCCATTCAAATTGTACCGTCGAAGCCTGGACGAGTGTCGCACGAACCATCAAGTTTCGACGAGTGGCAAGATGAGTCAGCTCTGCTTTATCAATTCCCCTTCACACAGAAATTTATCAATTATCCTTCACACGATCTTTCATCAATTCCTTCTCACACGGAAATTTATCAATT